CCCCCGGGGGGGGGCCCCAGGGGCGCCGGGGCAGGGGCTGCCGAGTCCAAGGAAGGAGGCGAGCAGCCCGGTGAGCCAGCCTGCTCTCTCCCCTGCCCTGGCTTCCTTCCCGCGCACGTGGGGATCCGCTCCCCTTCCCTCCTTCCGACGCGTCTAGGCCCCTGTGCCCCACCTCCCGCTCGCTTGTGCGTGGGGGTGGGTGGCGTCCCTCGCTCGGATCCCGCGGGGCGAGATGCATCCGACGCTGGGAGACGAATCTGGTGTCGGGGGAGCACCGGGCGCGCGCGAGATGCTCGGCTCCGGGGGCGCGGAAATGGGCAGGGTGCCGCCTTGGCGACGTAGAGCAAGTTGGGTATCCCGCGCCCGTCCTCCTGGCTGTTGATGCGTTAAAGCCCGGTGGTTTTAAAATCCGTGTTCGCTTCCTGAGGGTGATGCATGACAAATATCAAGAGGGAAAACAGGGCGCTGGGGAATAGCGGCAGTAAGCAGGTGCTTTCACTTGTTGCAGCAGCCTAAGCGCGGGTCCCCGATAGTGGGGGGCGACGGGGTCGGCGTGCGGAGTTCGATGCTAGAGGCGACGATGGTAAAAAGGGTCATCGCTTCCCTCAGCCCTCGGGGTCGACGGGTTATGCACGAAGCGCGGATAGGGGGTGATGGCAAAGTGTTGGCAGCTGAAAGCCGAATGTTAATCCAGTGTCTCGACTCCTTTCCGTTTCCTTGATTCCAGCTTAAAACCCTTGTCCAGCCGTAGCCGTTTATGTTAGCAAGCTAGATGTTTTGTTTGTCCTGTTTGATTTGTTTTTTTTATTATTCCCCCCCACCCCCCCATCCTGATTTAAATGTATGCGTGCGTGTGTGACACACACATCTACAGCAAATCCTGTGAAGGTGAAATTATTGTCTAGGTTTTGGGTGTAGAACTGTGCCAAATTATCGTCTAGAAATTTGGCAAATGAGGATGTAAACTGGGACCCTGGAGACCCAGATGCGTTTCACTCGACTCCAGTGAGGAGGCCTGTTGATTTCTGTGGGATGAGAGTGCAACTACTGACAAGAGTAAAGCTGGACACGTGACTGAGCCTTGAGGGGAAAAAAACATCCAAAAACGAAACTTGCTGCTCGGTAGCAGGAAGAGGGTGAAAATGTGAAGCCAAAACATTCCACGTGAATGAGGAGACCGTTGTTTTGACTTGCATTGACTGGCAAAGGAGCTAGTTTCTCTCACCAGAGCATTTTGCTCAACTAATTTAGGGCCTAGACACGTGCTCAGTCATTTGTAAGAAAAACATAGAATAACTGTAATTGCTATTTGGTGTTTTTTAACAACTTGATTCATTCTCAGACCGTTATTGGCCATTACCATTGCTTACTAACTAATGAACATTAGTTGGGTTTTGGCTCATAAGTTAGCTGTAAAATCTTTTGGTTCTAAGACTGCATACTGGGTGTCAGTGGGCACCTGCATCTCTGACTTGACACCACTAAATACCTGTCAACTCAAAGACTAATCTGTGTTAAAAACTATAAGTAGTTTCATATACAGTGTTGCTCCCAAATGCATCTGGCAGTTGTTTTGGGTTGTTTTATAATACCTGACTGTCTTTTTTCAAAAGGTAAACTTCTTCCAAGTTATCATGTGGAAAGAGCCACATGAACAAGAAGGGAAATACCTACCTGCAGAGGGGAGAGCAGCACAGCTGCTTTTACAGAACTCGCTGTCAAATGTGCACAGTAAACTAACAAAAATAGGTTTTCACTGTAAGCTTTCTATTGTAGCAATCTGAGTTGGCAGCCTCTAAGAGTAGAGGTGTGTCAGGCAGGCCCATGACTTTTTAACACTGATCCCACTAACGGATCGAGTTGAGCGTGTTTTTATATTTGTTATTTTTAACGGAGCATCTTGAGACAGAAGCACCTTGTTGGTGGGCTTCCTTGATATCACATCCTGTAGGTTTTTTGCTGCTTTCAGTCAGATGTGCTGACGATTTCTTCTGCCCCTTACAGGAGATGAGGAGGGTGGTGACAAAGCAAAGCCAGAGGGCTCTGATGGAGAGCGGCGAGGAGTCAAGAGACAACGGGATGAAAAAGATGAGCACGGCCGTGCTTACTATGAGTTCAGGGAGGAGGCCTACAACAGCCGGTGAGGAGAGGGGAATCACTGGGATCTAGTTCCATCAGGGCAGTAAATGCTGCTAGATCTGGCCAGCTGGCTCTGGGGTTGGACAGGTGCCAATGAGAGGACTGGGTTTGGTGCTGGTGGGCAGAGGTTCTGCTCCTCCAATCTGCTTTTTTTTCTCTACTCTAAATGGCTCTCCGTGCTGTTTATGCTGTGATACTTGATTGCTCATTTCCCTCCCTTTTGGACAGATCCAAGTCTCCCCCGCCACCTGAAGAGGAGCCAAGAGAAGGGGAAGATGATGAAACTGTCGTGATCCTGGACACATGTGCGTATGCAACCTGTAGAAACTGTTGTATTCATAGTATAAAGTTCAGAGGCATGTTCTAAGGTGCACAATTCTGGAGGGAAAAATCCAAGTTTAGCATGGGTGCATGCTGGAATAGTATGGCATGTTCTTCTTTCAGCTGCCAAGGGTTAACATCAGCTTGTTGGACCTCTGTCCTGCTGCTGCATTTCCAGTCCTGCTGTCCCAGAGGGCAGAAATCAGTCAGATTTCAGGGTGTCTAGATAGGTGACACCAGCAATATTGTAACAATGAGAAAATGGGCATCTGAAAACACTGAGAAATTGATATGTCTGTTTCTCTCTAAATATTAGCCTGGCCTTACTTGTGGGGTTTGACTCCCTCAAGTCAGGTGAAGGCAGCTTGGAGGTAACTGGTCTTTTCCTTCTGACAGACACTTCTGATCTCCACTTCAAAGCAAGCAAGGACCGCTATGGAGGACAGCCGCTTTTCTCAGAGAAGTTCCCTGGCCTTTGGTCTGGGGCAAGGAGCACCCATGGCGTGACGAAGGGAAAAGTCTGCTTTGAGGCAAAGGTGGGGGCTGCGGAGCATTGTACGTGTTCTGTTGAGCTTCAGGAACTGTTCAACACTGAACAAGACATGGGGGCTCTTCCAGCCTAATTTAGCGTGGATACGACCCAAAGCAGACTTTCATCAGCTCTAAACCTAACTAGCTTTGCTCGTTGCCTCGCTGAGGGGAGGTACGACTACAAGGGTGTGGGGAGCTGTACAGTATGGCAGGGTGATAGGAGACCGTCTCTCAGAACTGGTTCTTCTGAATCTGCTTGCAGTTAAGGGAATGTGTTACTTCCCCAGGAAGCAGAGAGCCGTCTGCCTTTATTTTGCCCTGATGAATCTAAGTGAACCTGATGGTTATTAGGGGACTTGCCTGATATCTTGTTGTCAAAGTCCCAGGGTTGTCAAACCTGGCTGTCCTTGCTTCCCTGAAAATAACTTTGTAGGCGTCTTGAGCACTGCTCTGAATTCCTGGTCCCTATCCGCAAGGTTATGGAGGCGTGACCCTTTAGTAAAGATACCCTTTCTCCCAAATGCTAATTAGGCAGCTCTTTGCTGCAACATAGCTGCAGACTGTCCATGTGCATAAAAGTTCTTCTTCACTGCCCTTAAGGATGCAGTCCCACTATGGAGAAAATGGAAAAGGACTTGTAGGCCTCTTCGTGTGGCATATGTGAATGCTCAGTGTGTGTGTGTGTGTTGGGGGGGTGTCTTTGGAAGTGCCTTTTCCTTGTAGCAGACTTTCTCAGGGAAAGCAACTGTTTATGAAAAAGCTGTTTAATCTGTAGCTACTCTGCCCCTTGCACACTGACAGCTATCTTGAATCTGCACTTGATGCATTTGTCATATTCAGGCAAATTATGTAGCTGGTTGTTCCCACAATCCTGGGAGTTGGTAGAGATTGTGAAGCGAGCAGATATGAGGCCCAGTGCCTGTCAGCCTTGGGACACGAGCGGGGTAGGGTATGGCTGAAGTGCAGGGTCTCTCGCCAAGCTTTGCAGAAAAGTGGTTTGCTTCCAGTCTGGAGTAAATAGTGTTTTAGTGACTAAAGGAAGCTGCTACAGCTGCATCATGCTCTGGGGGGCACCGGATGTCAGGGGGACTGCTGGAAGCAGATATGCTCCAGGGAATGCAGAGTAAATATCCCATTTAACTCCTTGGCTTTGTCACCTGGAGGTGTAACCTGTGTGCCTCCAGTTCACATGTACACCCTGGCATAGTGGAACGTGGCTGAGAACTGTATGCCTGGGGTCAGTCCCAGCTTTGCAACCACTGCGCTAAGTGACCCCTTCTTGAATGTCTCTAGGTGACACAGAATCTCCCTGTGAAGGAGGGCAGCACAGAGGTCCCGCTGTTCCGGGTTGGATGGTCTGTGGACTTCTCTCGTTCGCAGCTAGGTAACAAATGTCCTTTTGCTCCTGTATCACCCAGGAGCTTGGAAAGCGCTGCAGCCCCAGCTGGCCCTGCAGCAGGAGGCTGCAGGTAGTAACTGTGCCATTCTTTTCCAGGTGAGGATGAGTTTTCATATGGCTACGATGGACGAGGGTTGAAGGCTGAAAATGGGCAGTTTGAGGAGTTTGGTCAGCCTTTCGGGGAGAATGACGTGATTGGTTGCTTTGCTGTAAGTTCTGGAGATTATGTCCATACCAGCCATGTCAGAGGGGCAGGCGGGGGCAAGACTGTCCTGGCAACCAGAAAATAGCCTAACAGGGCTCTCCTGCTCCTGTCCCTGACACAGTCATGCGGGGAAGCTACAGTGCCCTATACTGCAAACAAAGGATCTAATTCTCTGTGTCCTCTTACTCTGTTGCTGATGGGTTTATGGTAGGGCACAAAGTGGTGGCAAGCCTGGCACTGCTTCTTTCTGGGGGCAGGAGGTACCTGGGATGTGAGGGTTGGGGAAGCGATGGGCACCCATCCAGACTTGCAGGTCTCCATCCCCTGTGTTCTTTGCGTCTCAGAACTTTGAGAGTGACGAGGTGGAGCTCTCCTTCTCCAAGAACGGGGAGGACCTGGGTGTGGCCTTCCGGATCAGCAAGGAGGCCCTGGCTGACCGTGCACTCCTGCCCCATGTCCTCTGCAAGAACTGCGTGGTGGAGTTGAACTTTGGCCAGAAGGAGGAGCCCTTCTTCCCAGTCCCTGAGGACTATGTGTTCATCCATGCTGTGCCAGTCGAGGACCGCGTGCGCACACCACTTCCGCCCAAAACCATAGAGGAGTGCGAGGTAAGGGGGGGAGCTCATCCATTGTATGGCCCCACCATGGCCAAGACCTTGCCCTGCCTCAGCCAGCTTTCAGGGAGCCGTTCTGGGTACTGGTACCAGCCCAGTGGTGTCAGCGTGAAGCTTAGCATTGAATTTGTCCATCTTGTTGGGCAGGGTTGGTAGCCTGTTCTGAGCTTCCTGGTGTTGTAGTGAGACTGGTTCTGGTACCCACACAAGTTAGATGTATCCAGCCTCACAGTCACTGCAGGGTGGCTGCAACATGGATGTACAGACACGGCCAGTGACTCAGTGGCCACATTCTAGGCAACTGCACGGTTCATAGGCCTGTCCCGAGGCAGGAATCCAAAGAGCATCTGACAGCCTGGTGCTGGCTGCTGCTCATCTGTTCTGATTCTTCCTCCATTCACCTATGTGCATTGGTCCCCTGCAGGTGCTGCTGATGGTGGGGCTGCCAGGATCTGGAAAGACCCTGTGGGCACAGAAACACACCGAGGAGAACCAAGAGAAGCGATACAACATCTTGGGAACAGAGACCGTCCTGTACCAAATGAGGGTAAGCACTTACTATCACCCCAGGTTCTTTCTATTCAGGGCTGGGCAGGCTCAGGGTCTGGGTGTCAGTGTTCTGCTACAAGTGGAATTGCAGGTGATTGTGTTGAGTTGTGGGAGGAGGGAACTTACTTGATAGCAGAACAAGGGGTTTTCTCTCTTTCTAAATCCATCTGTAAATCATTCTGAGCTCCAGCTCAGAGGGGAGCGTCCCTTTTCCGCAGGAGGCCTATTGTGGGCTGTCTTACTGGGCCCATGGGCATGACTGCAGAGCGGGAGGATGCAGTGTTTGTCCAGAACACCACCTCCTGATTCCTCTCTCGTTCCTTTTGGCAGACGAAGGGAGTGGAGGTTGAAGAGATGGACCCCAAGAGCAGAGACCTGTTAATCCAGCAAGCTGCCCAGTGCCTTAGCAAGCTGGTCCAGATTGCTCCCAGGGCAAAGAGGAACTTCATTCTTGATCAGGTAGCTGTTCTATATCCCAGTGTCTCCTGATGCAGAGCAGGCTGTGCCTGTGAGAACGGGAATTCCTGACGGGTGGGCCAGTGCCCATTTCTGAAGCTTGTTTCTCTTCCCCGGCTCAGTGCAATGTGTACAACTCTGGCCAGCGACGGAAGCTGCTTACCTTCAAGGGGTTTTCTCGCAAGGTCATTGTGATTGTCCCCAATGAAGAAGACTGGAAGAAGAGGCTGGAGCTTAGGAAGGAGGCGGAAGGGGAGGATGTGCCCGAATCTGTGATGCTGGAAATGAAAGGTAGACTTTTTTTTACCCAGACCTGTACCACTGGGGCTCAGCATTGCTAGCTCCGAGGGGCTGGCTGCTTCCAGGCTAGTGCTAGGCTGGAGTAAGAGCCCAGATGCCCCCGTGGGGCAATCGGGCAGGGACCCCTTACTCCCTGGACCACTTCTGAAAACGGGATGCCAGGTCACTGGGAGAAGCCATAACCTTGTGAACTCCCTGTTGCTGTCTGTTTCACCACAGCCAACTTTTCACTGCCGGAGAAGAACGATTACCTGGATGAGGTGATCTATGGGGAGCTGGCAAAGGAAGAGGCCCAGCCCCTGGTCACCAAGTACAAAGAGGAGGCCCGTAAGCTGCTTCCGCCCTCGGAGAAGCGGGCCAACCGCCGCAACAACCGCAACAAGCGCAACCGGCAGAACCGCAACCGTGGCCAGGCCTATGGTGAGGCTCCGCAGTGCAGGGCTGGTGTTTTCAGCTGTACCTGGTGCGGCTTCTTGTGCAGGGAGTCTCTTCTCAGCTACCGTTGGAGGGAGGCCATGGGTCCTTTGGCGGGATTGCAGCAAGCGCCTATACTTGGCTGTTGGCAGGACTCCCGTCCCCTTTACCCACCTGGCTTCGCTCCCACTTATTCACAGCCTGTTGCTCTTTGGTATTGCACCCTCTTCCTGGCCATGGCTCACAGAGGTCCTCTGCTTTTCAGGGAGCCTGCGGTTTTGTTTCCTTGTCCTGCTATTTGCTGAGGGCTTCCCCACAGCATCCTTTATTCGCATGGTCTCACCCTACTTCCCCTTCTCTGTCAGCACCCTGAATCCCCCCACTTCTTCCTGTTCCCTCTATCCACTGCTGATAGCTCTTCCTGGTCCAGTTTCCCTGGCACTGCACCAATGTGCATGCTGTGCTTTCCTATCCAGTCACTACCCTCATGCCCCTTGGGAGCTCTTGGAATGAGCTGGGTCTGCTGCTCAGTTTCCTGGGCTGTGTAACCCCCATGCTTCTGGAGCACCAGGATGCTTTTCCTCCCAGCTCTCTGGCTGTGTTGCTCCCCACAGCCCACGTCTAACCTGTTTGCTTCCTTTGCAGTTGGCGGGCAGCGTCGAGGCTATGACAACCGTGCCTATGGGCAGCAGCAGTACTGGGGACAGCCTGGAAACAGAGGGGTGAGTGCAGCCTCCCTATCTCTGCCTAGGAAGTTTGAGAACCCTGTCTGGAAGACATGGCACTGTTCCCTTTAGATGTACTTAGGGCGCTGCTTCTGTTCCCACAGGGTTACCGCAACTTCTACGACCGATACAGAGGGGACTACGACAGGTTTTATGGACGCGACTACGAGTACAACAGATACCGAGATTACTACAGGCAGTACAACCGAGAGGTAAGAGCTCCAGACCACGGAACACTTGTGGTATCCCACCACCTAGGTGACCTGTCCCAGTGAAGGCAGCTTCTCACTTGCGTGGGCTGTGAGTTCAGTCACTCCCCCCTCGCTCCCAGTCCCCTCCCCAAGGTCTGTGGGCACACAGGTGGGCACTCGAGAAGGGAAGGACAGGCTACAACTAAATCTGGACAGGTTACAGGGGTGGATGGATGAGAATAGGATGGGATTCAATACTGGCAAATACAAGGTACTGCACCTGGGGAGGAGGAACCAGCGGCAGACCTACATGCTGGGGAACTCTCTTCTCGTCAGCACAGAGGCAGAAAAGGATCTTGGAGTCATTATTGATTCCAAGATGAACATGGGCTGCCAATGTGGGGACACAGTCAAGAAGGCTAACCGTACCTTGTCATGCATCCATAGATGCATCACAAGCAGGTCCAAGGAGATGATCCTCCCCCTCTCTGTGACACTGGTCAGGCCGCAGATAGAGTACTGCATCCAGTTCTGGGCGCTGAACTTCAGAAGGGATGTGGACAGCATCGAGAGGGTCCAGAGGAGGCCACTCGCATGGTCAAGGGGCAGCAGGGCAGGCCCTATGAAGAGAGGTTATGGGACCTGAACCTGTTCAGCCTTCACAAGAGAAGGCGGAGAGGGGATCTGGTGGCAGTCTATAAACTTATAGGGGGGACCTGCAGGGAACGGGAGAGTCCCTGTTCCCCCGAGCACTACCGGGAGTAACGAAGAATAACAGGCACAAGTTGACTGAGAGTAGGTTCAGGCTAGACATCAGCAGGCGCTACTTTACAGTCAGGGTGGCTAGGATCTGGAACCAACTTCCAAGGGAAGTGGTGCTCACTCCTACCCTGGGGGTCTTCAAAAGGAGGCTAGATAATCACCTACCTGGGGTTGTTTGACCCCAGCGCTCTTTCCTGCCCATGGCAGGTGGTCAGACTTGATGATCTGCTCAAGTCCCTTCCGACCCTACCTGCTATGAAACCATGGCTGGAGTGGCAGTCTGGGAGCTCTGTGAGAGCTGATGGGAAAGGGGGATGGTTACTGCCAGGAGCCCGTACTCTCAAAGCACACCTCTGTCTGCTAACGGTGTCCGTCTTCCTCATTCCCAGTGGCAGAACTACTACCAGGACAGAGACCGGTACTACAGGAACTACTATGGCTACCAGGGGTACCGGTGAAGTCCCGGCCGTCTGCACCCTTCAGCCATGCAGCTGAACACGCGGGGGCCCCTGCCACTCCCCGAAACACAACCAATGGAAACAGGGCTGTTGGGGGGAGAGCGGCGGCGGGGGGAGGGGGGGAGGAAAAAAAACACACAAAAAGAAGAAGAAACTGTAAATTTTTTTTAAAAGTTTGTTGAAGAGAATATTGTCTTATTCTATAAAACATTTCAAACCTAGTTAGACATTTGTAATCAGAACGTGTGCGCAGGGTGCAGCACTTAGCGCTGCCCATCCTGTTCCCTGTGGTGACTGGGCAGGAGAACTACGTACCTTTGAGCGACATCCTGGAGCAGCTGGGCCAGCGGCTGGCAGGGAGGCACGAGGCAGCGGCAGGAGGACGAGGCGAGAGGCACAGGCAGGCAGGAGGGGCAGGGGGTGTGAGCAGGTGACTCTGATCATTAGCTTGCAAAACTAATCTTGCAAACTATCCTTTGCTAACCTGGCTTTGGCGGGGGGTGAGGTGCAGGGGACTCAGACCACCGCAGCTTGAGGCGCAGGTAGAGAAGGGATCGCATTGACCTTGGTTCCCACTGCATCTGGCGGGCGCCGGGTGCTACCACACCACACCCCAGGCCGGGAGCCTTTGCCTTCACCCACTGTTGAATTTCCCCACAGGAGTGCAGGTCGCCTGTCCCCGCATTCTCAGCCGGCACCAGTGGCCTCGCAGTTCCCCCACCCCTCCCCGAGGCAGCTTCTCATCTCTAGAGCGTCTGTCTGGGCAGTGGCGGAAGAGAAGGAACATTTCTCAGGGTTTCTGCAGGATCTTTTTTTCGTGAGCGTGTGGCATGTACATAGGTGACCCGTGCCACGTGTCACCTTGCCTGACAGGTAGCCGAGAGGGCATAGCCAGTGGCCCCCGCGGTGCTGGCAGTGCATATTTAGGAAGCCGGGGTGGTGACAGCGGGCATCTCACCCACCCTCTCTCTGCTCCAGCGCTGCCTTCTCTGCCTGCACAGCCTGGCCCCAGAGGAGGGGGGGTGTTCCCTAGGATCCCTCCCCTGCTTGGGGCATGAAATTTGGGATGTCCTTGGTCTCCTGCCGCACCGCAGGGATGGAGGGGGGCCCTTCCCCAGGCATGTGCCAGGCAGCTTGGGGGCGGGGGCAGCTGCTCCCGAGGGCATAGGGAGCCCGTTTGCAGCAGTGGTGGATGCGGCCGGTTTGTATTTTTTGCAGGGGAGGGAGGGGGGCGGGGAGCGCGGTTCAACTTTTCCAATGATGATATTTAGTGTTGATCTGTAGGATTCTCTCTCTGCGTTGTTTCATTCTCGTCCACCCATCTCCTTCCCTGCCACAGCCAGGCCGGGGGGGGGCCCTTTCCCAGTGAACAGGACGCCTCCTAGGAAGCAAATTGTAAATACTCTTGGTCTGAGCGCCCGTGACTTCCCTCTGCTGCTTGTGATTCACTGTTTGAAATTCAAACATTTTTACTTTGTTTCAAGAATTGGATTTTCCTTTTTCCTTTTCTTTTTCTTTTATCGCTGTTACTCTTCTCTGCCAGCCATTGCAAGCTGTCCCGTCCCCGGCACCCAGCCCAGACTCGCCTTTCCTTCTGCCCACAGCCGGAGACCGCAGCCGGGGGCTCCCGGCTCTGTGCCACTCGCAAATCCAGGGGCTTTGGGGAAGTGGGGGTGTAGCTCACAGCGTGACCCTTTTTATAACAAAGCCACAGGTGTTTTAAATGCTCCAGGCCACTAGAAAATCTGCTTGGGACAGGGGAAGAGGGGGAAGAGAGAGCAGGAGCTTTCTAGGGAGCCCTGGGCACAGAAGCGTTGTCCGTGGCACCGTGGGGATTTCTGGAGGGGGCCGTCAACTGTTCTCGGAATGACTTTTGAAGCTGTAATCCTTTTTAAATAAAGAAATAAATACAAAAAAAAAACAAAAAAAGAGAACCTTTTCTGGGGGTGACTAGAACTACCACGTCCTTGTCCGTCAGACCAAGAGACCTTTAGCGACTTCGATAGATGTCTTTTTTTCCTCTGCACATTATTATTATTTTTTTTTGTTAAAAAAGAAAAAAAAATCGAAAAAATGTAAATGGTAAAGGAAGAACTTTGCAGCCTGTTCTTATAATTTTTTTTTTTTTAGCTCCGTTTAGTGTTTCACGCTCGCTCGTACGTCTTAGTGGCTGTAGAGGGGAGAGCGCGGAGGCTGTGACTGTCTTGACGACCTGTAAAACGTTTTTTGAAGTGGCCAGTAAAAAAGGGTTTGACCATTGACCATGTTACCGTGTGTGGTTGTTTACATCTGTAACGCTTCTTTTTTCCTTCGGCTTCTGGCAAATGTAGGCGATTGATCGCTGCCGTTTTTAGAATAAATAACCGTTGGCTTGACTCGGCCGCCTCCTGGTGCTGCCTCGCTGCTTCGTCTGTCCTTGCCTGCTCCCCCCCGGGAGGAGCCCCGCTTAGCCTGAGACGCTCTCCAGGCCTCTTGCTCTCCCTGGGCGTGCAGAGCCAGGGGCTCCTTCCCTGCTCCCTGCCGGCACTTGGGTGCGCGGAGCCAGCAGCGGCGGCGGGAGCTCCTTCCTTGCTCCCTGCGGGAGCTGGAGGTGCCATGCCCGTGGCTGCAGACAGTGCGATGGAGAGGTAGGGTCCCCAGGGCTCCTCGCCTGCATCATGGGGGCCTTCCCCTGCCCTTGCGAGGGGAGCAAGATGTCTGGTTTTGTCCCAGCCTCTGCTGCGCACAACCCTGGGGTCCCGGCCTGGGGAGGTGGGGGCTGGGGCAGAAGCTCGGGGTACAGCAGGGAGCGGGGGTGCGCGTCACTCAGGCACCTTCTCCCTTCCCTGGCCAGGATCCCAGACGATGCTGGAGCCGTGGAGGAGCTGGACCGGAGGCTGGTGAGTTGCCATGCTTGTGCCCAGGGCAGCCTGGGCATGGGTGCTTGGGGGGGTTCCCCCCTACCCCCAGCACCAAGCGAGCGCCTCCATCCTCTTTTCCAGATGTGCCTGCAGCTGCCGCGGCCTCCAGCTCCCAGGAATCGCCGCCGAGGGCCTGCGCCAGAGACCACCCCCGGGTGGGGGCACAGACCCTGCCCCTGCTCCTGAGTCCCACGTACAATTAACAGGAGCCCCTCGACACCTGCCCCCTCCCCAACCCTAACCCCTGCCACTCTCCAGCACCCCAGGTGTGTTGCCATGTTTGTTTCTGGCACAGCAACACCCCGTCCTTGTGCTGCTGGGGGCGGGGGGTTGGCTACTGGGATGAGCCTGGTTTGAGCTATGGGCACAGCTGCCAGGGTCTGCCCACCACCACCCAGGCAACTGAAGCCATGGTGGTTCCTAGGGGGTGCGGGGACTCTGGGCTGGGCATGGAGGAGCACCCTGGGGGTGGCCATCGCGGTTGGGGGGGGCTAAGACTAGTCTGGGGCGGCCATTTTGGATCCTGGAGTGGAAGCCGCCCAAAGTCCGCCATCTTGAGGCGTAGCTTGCCTGTCAGCCGCCATTTTTCGTCCTGGAACCGGGACTCTTCTTTCCATTACCCTCCTTCAGCGGCCGCCATCTTAGATCCTGGGAGGGAGGCAGCCCGGGGTGTAGCCATCTTGGAAAGTGGAGTGGGTGCCCGTGCGCATGCGTGCAGCCTCATAGCCTGGCACTCGCTCCGACTGACGCCATGTTGAAGCCTGCAGGCTAGGCGGCGCCATGCCAGTTCCTGGCGGTGAAGCCGAGCTGCGCTCCGCCCTGTTGGCGGTGCCAGGCGGGTGCCGGAGGTAGCACGTGGGTGCCTGAGCGCGGGAACCCGGACACGTGGGTTTTCCGCAGTTCCGAGCTTCTCGTCATAGAGGGCTGGGGGCACAGCCAGGAGCCCCCTGCCCCCCTCCAGACAACACCCCCTCCC